TCAGATGACATCGCACTGTCCCCTCTGGTTCTCTCTGACTCATCCAGCTCCATGGTACAGACGTGGCCGAGGCTTCGTCTGTACGCCTTTCGCCCGAAAGCTCTGCTCCCGGGAGTTCTAGAGAGAGTGCGCCGGAACGGGGTCCGTTTTCTGCTAGTAGCCCCGTTCTGGCCGGGCCGAGTATGGTTCCCTCCTTGGGACCTCACTGTGGGGCTAGAAGCTCTCTGTAGGCCTCCCTTCGAGCCTATCGTGGAGATCTCTGAGCTGGGAACGTCCACAGAGCTACCCTGTGGAGAAGGGCGGACCAACTGCTTGTTTGCTATGGCCCCCCTAACGTCTCGCCCATCTATTGGACTGATTACACACGGGATTCAGAGCCGGTCACGCTGAAGGGGCTCCCTCAAGGAACCATGGTTACATACGTAACCTGAGACGTTATATCCTCTCCTACTTGTAAGTCGCTTTGGATAAAAGCGTCTGCTAAATGAGTAAATGTAAATATGGACAGCATAACTGATTATTGGGTTCTTGCGTCCGGAGTAGAATTATCCTTTCCCAATAAAGCAAAGTTGTTTTGCGCCGAATACTTATGATATCTCATCATACTTTATCATATTTTAGTAGGCTACTTTAATTCATTACAGCTATGTTCTTAACTTTAACTGGTCTGTCACTGACAGAGAGAGAGGGGAGGACAGTTGCTCGACCTCTCCAGAATCTATACAGGTGAGAACTTGAAAGAATATAATTATTTTAAGGCAGTGTTTTTTTTTTTTAACTGGGACTACTTGCCAATGTTTTAAGGAATTAAACATTAATATACATTTTCATTTTATGTTCAAATTGTTCAATACAATTTGTTGTATATGTAAAGGCAGTGTGTTCCAATAGTTTTTAAAGACACTTTTTTGTCCAACTATTAAGAATCAGGATAAAAGTTATCATTTACTGTAAGTGTAGTGTAACTGAAATATTGTACATAAAATATCTTTATTTAATAAAAATAAAGTATAGATGTCCACAGTGGTCTCAAAGTCCCAAGTCCTGCAGTTATTTTTGGATTAGAGTTAGAGTTAGTGTTTTTGAGTCTGATATCACAAAAAATAAGTCCCTGTAAGCTGTCTTGCTTCCTGTAAGCTATCATTGCATGTTCCCAAAATTGCCATTAGGGTGCTCTAAAACATGCCAATTAGTATTCTATATAGAATTTATTATGTGAACATGAATGTACTTTGTACATTATGTACATAATTTGTTTGGCCATTGAGGGTCACATCACCTGACAGCTGCCCCCCACCCCCCACTTTTAAAATGACTGCTACGCCCCTGCATGAGTTTTTTATTTATTTATTTATTTTTGGGTGATTCATACCTTCAGTTGTCCATTTAATCCACTTAATTTAATTTGTTATCCAATCCACATGTTGAATGTGCAAAACTACTATTGAAATATGAATTACATACAATAATATGCAACATTTAACAGACTAAATCTGCATTTTTCGGCGTGCATAAGATTTCAAGCCACAAATTTTCATGTCACGCTCTACTCTTAGAGCTACAGAAACCTTTAAATGCATTTGTGTGTGCAGACCAAGTGCATTGACACCCATTTGATAAAAGGTCGACTGGAACACAAACTCTCATGAGGAAAGTCCCATTGAACAGATACTGTGTGTTTATATGTGAGCACGTACACAGGGGCTCCTCTGTTTGCTTGCATAGGCTGCATTTACATGATGTCTCACATGTTAAAAATGCTGCGTAATAGAAGCCAGTGGTGACTATTTCTTTTCCTCTCTATATCTGTCTCTCTCTGCTTGTTGATATTTATAGAGCCCACAGCGATGAGAAAACAGGCCCCAATGCAGGCGACGCATTGAAGACATGAGGGGGCGGAAGGGGAGAGAGATAGAGAAAGAGCAAGTTAGAGAGAGTGTGCATGAGTAGTAGTAGCTTTCTACATCTTCCAAAGATAATTAACTGCACTTTCATGGCAAGAAAAAATCCAACAAGACTCCAAAGGCCGTTCTCATTACTTTGAATGTCAGGCCCTGTGAAGACTCTATCAGCACTGCAGAAAAAGCCGGCTATTACAGTAATATATGACATGATGAGGTTGAACACTTCTTCAGAGTGGGTTCATTATGTGAACCGACTGCACTGCGGGTGAAATTACCTGGTTATGGTGCTCGATGCCCATGCTGATCGTATTGATGAGGATGGCGATCATAATCCCTCTGTTGAAATACTTGCTTTCAACTATACCCCAAAGCTTTGCGCTCATTTCATCCCAAATATCTTTACATTTCCCTAAACAGGTGTGTTTCCTCTTCGGCATGCCCTCAGAGTCATTGTCCCCCTTCTCGTCCAAGCGGTTCTCATCTCTGTCGTTCTCCTCCAGTGCAACCTCCTCTTCCTCCCCATTGGCCGAGTGCCCCGTCAGTCCCAGCCCCTCCTTGATTGACGGGGCTGCAGCACACTGTAGACACTCCTCTGTGTTTGGGGTGACGGAGAGGGAGATGGCGTTCTCCAGAGATTGGGAGCTCTGGTCCAACTTGGTATCATGAATACAATGAGGGACTGCAAGAAAGACGAAAAATTCAACATTTTTGTTTGACATTTTCATATAATACAATATAATTTTTGCTTGTCAGTTTCTTGGACAACTGCCACACTGCTGCTTGGGATTGAAATATCATTGGGCCATAAAAGCAAACACACGGATGGATTTGTTCTTGTTTTTATTGCAACTTACTCTTTGCTTTTATAACTTCCTATTTGGTTTGGAGTGTCAGGGAAGCTACTTTGAAACTTGGCCAGGCTACAAGCTATTTTTTATTACACAAAAGTAGCTAAATACACTGAAGCAACTTAAAAGGGCAATATTGTTTAAAATAAATAACTTTTTGATGATATAATTCATAATTTTAGGGCCATATTCTTTTGGGGTTTGAATGAATGAACAGTGACATCTCCAAACTTTTACAAATAAATTTATACTAAATCAAAGAAATAAAAAAAAATACATCCTAATATACATCCTAATTCACTGCATGTAACCAAATAAAAAACACCATAATTAACAATTAATTTTAAATGTAAATTAATTCAGGATTTACATAATAACTGAGCAGTGATTTCTTTTTTATATTTTCATTTACATGAATTGTTCAAAAAAAAAAAAACCTTCACTTTCCAATATACATACAGTATGAGTAAGAGAGGGCAGTTTAGGATGAATCAATTCACCTGAATAAATCAAAATGCTTGATACCAAATACAAGTGATATATGAGAGTTCTGGACGAACTGTATCAGAATGAATCAGATTTTCAAACATTCTCTCACTCACGTTGTGTTGGAAAGCATGATCCCAGCAAATCAGACTTTCTTGCACAACATAAGTGAAACAGAACAGTTTAGGACAAACTGACCCACTAGAATTAATCAGGCTTTCCAACACTACATACAATATGAGTGAAAAGGGTCCTTTAGGATGACTGATTCACTAGATTGAATCAAACTTTTCAACACTGCATATAAGCGAAAACGGGGAGTTTAGGATGGCTGATTTCTCTAGAAAAAAATCAAACTTTTCAACATTATAAATATGACAAGAAAATGCAATTTAGTACAGACAGCTTGCTACTATTTTGAACACAGCTGAGCTAATGTCAGGCTAAAATAAAAATTTTTTTTGGTTAATTTTAGATATTTTCTCCTCAACACTGTTAGACACAGCTTTTCTATCACCCAATATCATTCCTCTGGCTCTAACTCTCTCCTTACTCTGAGTAGAATGGCAGTGGTGTCTTTCGCTGCCATTCACATTAGCCCCTCCCCCTGTCGATCCTGCTCCTCCTTTGCCACGCCACCTCCCTCCCCCAGGGGGAGGGGCTTTGCCACGGAGCATGTAGTAAAGGGCGGCTGAGCGGCGGCGGGCCTTGCGCAGGATGTGGCAGACCAGCTGGAAGAGCTCCTCGTAACAGTCTCCGGGCTCAGCGAGCGAAGCCAGCGTGCTGGAGGACAGGTAGTGAGCACGTTGCTCTTGCATCAGCTGGTGCTCTCGCTGTTTGGTCTCCGAAAACTGAGTGGCAATGACCACCAGGCACAGATTAATCATGAAGAAAGATCCAATCTGGAACAGCAAGAAGAATAGGGAGAGTCAAAATCATAATTTACTCATCCTTCCCTTGCTCTAAACCCCTATGACTGACTTTCTTCTCTGGATAAAAAATACTGGAGAAATATTGGAGTGCTTTCTGGTACTGCTTGTTTTTTTTTTTGCCATTTTCTGAGGAACAGACAAAAATTTAAGTAATTGTTCACTGACAACCTCCTCTTTATATCAGACGCATTCAGATCTTCAGTTTCATTTTCTGACTTAATGGTCATAGCAATAACAATGTCAAAGAGCTGAACTTGTGAACAAATCCTTCAGACTTATTGTGTGAACCCGATCCAGCAATTCAACCAATCTGAACAAAAGAAAAAGAAAATCCCCCAGATTCATTTACAATTCAGACACTAGTTCTTCTTTCACAAATATTCTAAGGATTGCTAGCGAATATTTTAATTGAATAGCAACTTTTTGGCTTTTTGTCAGACAAGGGTATTGTATGACTTTCATACTTTTGGAATATAGCGCACAATATTTGCTCTTTTTGATATTTTTGAATCCTTAAAGCTTGAATGCTCCAGTTAACATTCAGTGTGAAATGACTGGGTTTGAAATGACATGTTGAGTACATGAATGAGTAAATAAATATTCATTTTTGGGTGAACCACACCTTTGAAAACATATATTTGAGTTTATTTATTTGAGCATTTTGCTCTCATCACTTTATTATACACTAAAGATAATTTTTAAGCTCAATTCTGTTACCATAACTCTTGCACTACGTGTGAAGTCTCAGCTGCTTTAAATATCCATGTCTACATGACACCAAAAACCCCTCTAAGCTCTCTAATGCAGCCTGTGCTGCAGTGTTTGGCATAAGCAGCGGCCATAGCTGTCTAGATGAGCTGCTATAAACAGACCCTATCTTTGAAAAAGTCAGCAGACGCCCAAACAAGAGCCCGTTTTGTTGTGTGTGCGCCCGTATCGCTCTGGCTTTGATATGCTATACCCAGTCAACACGTGAGATCATGCAATGATCACAGTGACCACACCATGAGAATCGTGTGAGCTCATGGTGACATCATTGTGAGATCAAATTGTTGACTGGGTAATTATCAGGCTCTTTCATAGGAGCAAAACATCAAAATATCTCCTAGTCCTCGCAGAGAAGGGCTAGATCCCTCTGCCAACGTGAAACGGATTAGAATTGTGAGCGAATCATTTTAAAGACTGAAAGCGAACCAGTTCCAGATTCAACAGAACAGAAAGGCTGCTCTTATATCATTCGCCATTCATATCACTGGCATTTGTCAATACGCGAACACACACAGAGCTCGCTCTTAGGTCTTAATGAAAGTACAGCCTGTTTCCTGCATATGTGAAGTAGGGATCAGAGAGGACGGATGAGTCGTGAGGAGGACAGAAGAGGTGGAGAACTGCACAGGTGTGTGTGGGGCAGCTGTGCAGGTGTGTCCTGCCTCCACATCTGCTGTCCTGATTTGGGAGTCTGATGTGTGACTGGACTGCTCCTAATCAACAGTCGGACCACTGTTTTATGCAGATAGACAACTTCTTTCCTTGCAGTCACCTTTCCTCTTATCAATTCCTCTGCACGCTTTAACACACACACACACACACACACACACACACACACACACACACACACACA